TCAGTGGACAATGAGGTATTAGCGATGACCAAAATTGCAATATCATATAACGTTACATGTATATAACTTTAACATGTAAATTGCCTGGAATCCATCCGTGGACATTGTGTATCTCATCGCTATGTATCAGTGAACGCACGATGTGTATCCGTGAACGCTGTCAAATGAATATAGCACTTTCCATGACATTGCCACGGGTCTCTGCCAGGCTCCCAGCAGAAGCTGCTGGAAAGAGTAACTAGCTATTTTATATAAACTTCACTCCTTAAACGGACCAACTCCTCCTCTGTCTATTTGGCCAATTTCTATGCTTTTCAGTCGCTTCTCAAGTCTGGTAGTGGCTTGTAAGTATGAAGACGAGAACAAAATTTTAAAAAAGAAGTATACTAAGACTGATGATGATAATGCTTCACTCCTTCGTGCCATTTACTTTTTAGGGACAGAAACATAATAGAAACCACTGTAAAACGTCCTTGTAGAAACGTAGGTTTACGGAAGGATCTGGAGGAAAGTCAATGAATGGTGATCGTTTTCAGCCTATATGCCACAGCTTATATCACAAGCAGGTTTCGGAAGTCCAAAAATATCATGACTGCGTCATACAAGCCCGTCGGTTTGAAAGGGTATTCAACTTTCTTGGTTCAGACATGGAGGTAGAAAAAAGAAAGGCATGGTTCAGAGAAGTCGTTACCTTTGGCTTGCCACCAAAATTCCTAGCCTGAGTGTCAGCTTTTCTAGCTTTCTTCCGCTCGCCACGATCCGCTACTCCAGGCTACAAAATTACATATATACACTTTCCCTTCCTGTTCCTTTCCAATCTGGAATGAGGTGGTTGTACAACTTGTACTACAAGGACAACCTAATGATTTCCCTAATCTGCTATTCTCCAAGCAGATTCCTTCGGGGGCAGGGGACGATGAAATTGGCCACCCGACTCACCATTTGCCCCCGTAGTTGCGACGTAGCCAATGGTCACAGACGGCCAATACAGGGGGGGATGGACGGGTGTCACGTGATGGGTTTGGCCAATCAGGTTGCTTGGTTTTTCCCAACTCTCCTTTAGGTGCGCTAAATGTATTGCTCTCAAATCTTATATTTTCTGAATAATGGATATTATTTTGAAAGACCAAAGTTTCACCAAACAGACACAGAGATGTGTCTTCGTCGCTGGAAGGAGTTTCCTGTATCCAGGTATGTCTGAACTTGCCGATTTTTACGTTGTAAGATGTGCTACTCTGTGCGTGCTTATAGCGAAGTTTTGAAAACTAGCCATTTTGCGTAGTTTTCAGGGGTCTAGTTTTCATTTTTCCCAAGTGGTCCGCTGCAAAATTTTCGTATCAACGTTAAGTCCGTGTCTTTAACTTACCAAAA